TTTCCACAGTTTACTCACCAAGTTCATCGTTCAGTCTTCCTAAAACAGAAAATTGTTATCCAAACAACAATATCACTTGGCACTCATTTACTAAGGAGGCCATTTTTGGGGGAATAGCGAGCCTCTCTGACAGAGTCACGGTAGGGCCTGATGGAGTTCCAGAGTTGCTATTGAAGAGGTGTGTTTGCACATTAACCACGCCTATTACTATACTGTTCAATCTCTCTCTTAATAGTTCAGAATATCCAGATGTATGAAAAAATAGCTACTTGTTCCCAATTTTTAAAACTGGCGATAAGCAAAACATTAAAAATTATAGAAGTATTTGTACCCAATCTGTGATTCCAAAATTGCTGGATGAATTGATATGCAAACAATTGACATGGGCCTGCCCGGGGCTGTTAGATGAGGCTCAGCACGGATTTACCAAAGGCAGATCCACAACCACAAACTTGGTTTCATACCAGTCATCACTGCTGAGGGCCTTGGAAGACAAAAAACAAGTTGATGCTATATATACTGACTTTTCTAAGGCCTTCGACAGTGTTGATCATGGTTTATTGTTTGATAAGTTATATAAATTTGGTTTTCACCTGGATATAGTAAAGTGGTTCCGTAGTTCCTTCACTGGTCGAGTTCAAAAAGTAAAAATAGGTTCATTCCTATCTGAGAATATTATGGCACATCTGTGGTGCCCCAGGGGGGACACTGCTCGCCATTACTTTTTAACATATTCGTCAATGATATCACAAAAAACTTTTTGCATAGTGTACCTGCAGCATTTGCTGATGACTTTAAAATTTTTCGAGTCATTAACAGTATGTATTACGCAAATTTATTACAGGAAGACTTAAATCGTCTTGTTGCTTGGTGTGACATCAATAAATTGAAGCTCAATGTTGATAAGTGTTTTACAATTAGTTTTTTCAGATTCAATAAAAAGGTAAATTCACTTTATTATATTAAAGACAGGCAAATCAGTTATACATCCAAAGTAAAAGATCTTGGTGTAATTTTCGATCAAGAGCTCAAATTTGTAGACCATATAAATAATTTGATAGTACAGTCCTCCAAGTTGTTAGGTTTTGTCATCAGGAATTGCAAGAATTTATCGGTGTCCTCTGCCAAGTGTGTGTATTCTAGTTTAGTAAGGTCAAAGTTAGAGTATAACTGTATAGTGTGGTCACCTTATCACCAAATTTATAAGGTTTGAATAGAGAGAGTTCAGAGCAGGTTTTTGCGTTTTTGTGCTTTTCGCATGGGGGTTCAAATTTTTGATCATGAATATGACTACATACGCAATATGCTAAATTTGGACTCTCTTGAGCTTCGAAGGTTGAAAATTGGAATGCGCTTCATTTTTGATCTTCTAAATTTTAATATAGACTGTCCTCAGCTTCTAGAACAAATTAAGTTTCGCATTCCAAATAGAAACCTCAGACATAACAATTTATTTTTTGTTGATTATCACAGAACTGATTTTGGTCTGAACTCTCCCATGTGCAGGTATATTTCTTTAATTAATCAGCACAGCTTGGAAGTTACAGGGATATCTAAAAGTAGATTTATTAGTCTAATTAATAAATGTGATCTATTATAGGGTGAAAAAAAATATATTTATATTCTTTTTCTAGGGATTTTTGTTGTTGTTGTAATTTTGCTAATTTAGTTACATTGGTTGTTAGTACTAATACTATTGCTGGCTAACCTTAAGATTATTGTTAAATTTTGTAAAACTATTACATTAATGGGGTAATCCCGTCAATAAATAAATTATCCCCGATTATTTCACATATGAGAATGCAAAAAATATGGAAATACATATGTATTAAACGATCTGAACATCTTAACAATCAATACAAATAAATGGTTGCTACCAGGAACCGTTTATTTGTATCAAAAATTAGCATGACAACCATGTATACAATAACATGGGAGAATTATCGCTGTAATTCTCTCTAGTTAAACAAATGGAAAAGAGAATTTTCGCTGTAATTCTGAAAATCGTCACTTGTCTTATGGGATTTCTAACACATGAGTGGAATAATCAGTACAATCCCTAAAGTATTTGAGTGCTTAGTGTGTGACTTTCTGACACCCCTAATTGAGCCACAACTAATTAAAGAACAGTTCGGTTTTAGATCGGGCAAATCTACCGAGTTAAATCTTACACAAATAGATTTTTTGCTGGACGCCTTGGAAGCAGGTCATCAGGTGCATACAATTTACACCGACTTCTCCAGGGCGTTCGATAGAGTCTCCCATAAGTTGTTATTGCACAAGCTGAAATTATTTGGAATTGTCGAACCCATGATCTCTTGGTTTCATACTTACTATAGTCTATACAGGTTTCTTCCGGGGTGCCCCAAGGGTCGCACCTTGGCCCGCTCCTTTTCAATGTTTATATTAATGACATTCATGAATGTTTTGCCTCTTGTCTTTTTCTGCTATTTGCTGATGACCTCAAAGTCAGTTGCATCATTAAATCCCCCAAGGATTGTGATAAACTCCAATATGACCTTAATAACTTGATTGATTGGTGCAATAGAAACGGAATGGATCTCAACCCTTCTAAATGCATGTCCATCACCTTTTCTCGTGCAAGAGATCCTTTAAAGTTTGTTTACCGAATCGGTAAGCATAACCTAGAAAACTTTTCCCTTGTCAAAGACCTGGGGGTCTCATTGGATATTGGATATGAACCTTCATTTTTCTAACCATTTGAACAATGCTGTTAACAAAGCTTTCCAGATGCTTCGATTGGTCAGGCGAAGCACCCAGGACTTTACTAGCATTACTGCCTTGAAAACTTTATATTGCGCTCTGGTACGCCCCCATCTTGAGTATGCCTCTTGCGTTTGCTCCTCTTTTTATGGTGTACATATGGAATCTGTTCAAAAGGTCGAGCACAAATTTTTAAAACAAATTGCATTTAAACTAAATATGTTAGATAATTACAACGATTCTGATTTACTTTCTATGTTAAACATGGTGCCGTTAAGTGCTCGCCACAAGAGAAGAGATCTTATAACGTTCTATAAAATTCTACATGGTATGGTTGCAGCTCCAGACATTCTTCATAAGATTGGTATTCATGTCCCTGCGAGAACCACCACAGCAACTGTCAGTTTTCACTGCCCTACTCACCGTACCAATTACGGAAATAATACTTTTATATATCCAGAACTGCTAGACTAGCCAACCAACACCACCAAATCGACTTCTTTGCGCCATACAATGCTTTCTTGTGTCAAGTGCATAATATATTTCGTTGAATAAGTCCTTGCATGTGTTTGAATCTTATTATATTACTTTAAGTTTTAAATTTGTGTGAATTTAAAGTTTAACACATATTGTAATTGGGCATTTCCCGTTGATAAATAAATAAATAAATAAATAAATAAATTAATAAATAAATAAATATGTGGTTACTGTAGGACGGTGTACAAATCTGATGACCTTGGTCTTTATTCAACTAAATATTATTGATATTGAACTGATTATAACATAATAAACTTATTGAGTATCTCTGGCCCCTCTGACATTGGCTTATCACAATAATTTTGTGATTTGGTCTCGGATTTGGTACCCTAAACGGTGTATATTGGTAGGTACTGCCTTTAACTTCCAGTACGATTTGTACCCAGAACTAGGGTGGAAATGTCCATATTTTCACAAAATCCCTTTTTCGATGAATCGCAATTATTAGTTTTAGCCCCTCAAACCACCCTCAAAGTTATTTGCCAGTTTTTGTAGGTACCCTTAACGGTGTATATTGGTACTGCCTATAACTTCCAGTACCATTTGTACCCGAGACTAGGGTGGAAATATCCATATTTTTACAAAAACTTCTTTTTGATGAATCACACAATTATTAGTTTTACCCCCGTTAAACTACTCTCAAAGTAATTTGCAAGTCAAGTGAGGTTCGCTAAACGGTGTAAGTATTATTATTACTTACCAAGTTACTTACCATAACCTAGTTCCAGCTTCCATATAAACTTTTAAACTATCTCTACCTAAGTATAATTTTTATTTGTTTCTTCCGAGATTCTTCCCTTTGCTTGGGCTTGAATTCACTTGAACTCAAAATCCTGGAACAGTTTTATTAGCAACACAGGATTTTTGCAGAATCTTAAAAATATGTGGGTATACTGTAGGACGGTGTACAAATCTGATGATACCTGATGACCCTTTGGTCTTTATTCAACTAAATAATACTGAGAATAAACTGATTATACCATAATAAACTTAAGCTTTTTATTTTAAATAGAAAAATAGTTATGAGTTTTCAAAGTTTTCAAAAATCTAAATCATAATACTTAAATGATGAAATTTTAAATTTATTTATTTTTATTTCTTTTTCAGCTTTAAATCCTTAGTGGGCATGGAGACCAGCAAAAGTAGCAGTACAGATAGAAAAGGTGGCTGGTTCTCTGGAGGTTTCGGTGGCGGCAGTGGAGGAGGCGGAGGTGGAGGTGGCGGAAGACCTTTTGGGTAAGTTATTTTGTTTCCATCTGTATTTTTTTTATACATGCCTACTTTATGTTCCAGTTGTTGTTTGATGTCTCTATCGTCTTTGTAATTCTCATTCTCACATCATTTACAATTATTGTAGGAAATTTGAATCAAATTTTCTGCATTATTATTGACTATTATATCTCATTCATCATGCTCACTCAAGCAAAACCGTGAACTATTTTTTCCTTAATACTAAATTACACCTATCAAATGTCAATTGAGTAATTAATATAATTTGTTTGTGGTGTTGGTATATTAAATAAGTATCGATTTTAAAAATCCCAAAAAGGCATTGAGATCGATAACCTTCAACGAAATAATTACTACCTGCTGATAGAAGCCTATATTATACAACTTAATTTTTATGCATCATATCAATCAATAAACCTTGAAGAATAAATGAGTTTTTGTGGAGTGCATTTGTGGTTTATTATTGAAAATAAATAGTAGACCACGCACAACCAATACAATTATTTTAGGCCTGGCAAACCTGGCGGCGGACCTAATATAAAAACCATGAGGGACATTAATCCACCTAGAATCAATGGAGGAGGCTGTCCAGGGGGAAGTTGCGGAATGTAATTGAAATGCTTTTATTTGTAAATATTATTTATTGTTATGTTATCTAGGCAAATTAAATAAAATATTATTATTGCCTATCAATATTATATTAAAATAGGTTGTTATTCTAAGGAACAAAATATATAATTTACAATAGAATATCTACTATTGATTTATTTTTTAATTTGAAGTGGTAATACCACCATAGGTTCGTTTTCCTTTGGATTGTCAGAGTATAAAGACCAGGTACGTTCAGTGATATTAAAAATGCCTAAAATAAGTAAAAAATGTAAGTACAAAATGTTTTAGGAATTTCGGCTTACATACCAACACAAATTGTTTTAACATAATCCCCTTTTCTGTCTCTAAAAACTTGATGGACATTATGACTTCTATCGCTCAACATATCCTTCAAATCTTGCTCGCTAATCGGTTTGGGAAACTGATTGAAAGTGTCCATACGAGCGATGCTACTCTCTGTCATCAACTTGTTGCATTCCTCGATTTTCGAGCGCAAATACGAATTCGCGTGGAACATGCTCTCGCCAGGGCTTATGGTGAGAATGTTCAAGTGAGACTCGTTCGATTTGTCACTAGCAGGGGCCATTTCGGCGTTGTGGAACATACGATCGCCGTCTTGTTTGATGAAAGTCATATTGATCGAGCAACCGTCTCCGGCTCCGCAGCCAGAGTCTCTGATGATTTGTTGAGCTTGGACAAAGTTTTCTGCCGAGAGAAGAGCTCTAGTGATGAAATGGCGTGCTGGAAATTACAAAAAATCACAAATTTAATGTTATTATTTGAATAGATGATACATTCTGGTGCCATATCTCATAATATGTCCTTGAGAAAAGACTGGATGTGATTTCTGGAAAGGATATCATCAAAAGGTTCAGGTAATAATCAAGCAAAGAAGTAACATCAGTTGTAAAGTATCTCATGAGTTGAATTTTGAACTCAGAATGGTCCAGGTTCAAGAACCATATGTGTAAGTAAAATGGCCAGTGCGAAGTGGGAATCATATGAAAGAAGAGAAATCTCAGGAGAAAAAGCGTGGAAATTAAAAATGAAGAGAAAGTTTAGGAAAATTGGAGGATTGAAAATTTTGGTCATGGGCGGAATTCGAACCCGCGTCCTCAGCATTGCTGGTGTTACGCTCTAACCAACTAAGCCACCATGACCCTACACAAAATAATCAAAATAGAAAATCTCTACATAATTACAGCTTATGCCCCCCACCAATTTCCTGAAATAAAAAACCACAGGGAAAACATATTTGCACAGTTGGTTGGAAACATCGTATTTATGGGAGACCTAAATGCACACCACCACGAGTAGGGCAGCAATATCATAAATGTTAATGGAAGAAAACTCTCAGAAATTTTAAACAACCATGATCTGATTATTTTAAACGATGGTGAAAGTACAAGAATCCAACCTCCAAACGAAAACTCAAGCCCCATAGATATCACGTTCACTAATCTTGAAATGGCCTCTCGCTTCTTGTGGGAGAGAGCTTCAGACTGTAGCTACAGCGACCACTTCCCCACAATAGGCAACACTCCTCAACAAATCTCATAGGTAACAACATACCAAGAAGAAAATTCCACAATGCAAACTGGACTGAATACTACAATGAAGTTAAACTCAAAACTGATACCTACCCTCGCGGACCCCCCAGTGTGGAGCACACTATCGGACGTCATCCAAGAGGCTGCCAACAAGCACATACCAAAGTCATCAGATAATGGCAGAAAAAAAACTGGAAATCTCTGATGGAAATGCACAGAGCAACTCCAAAAAAGAAAAACAGCTATAAGGGACTACAGAAATAACCCATCTATGGAAAAGTTCATAGAAATTAAACATATTATTGGCAAAAACAAGACGTTTTTTCAGGAAAAATAAAAAACAAAAATTCATGGCCTACTGTTTATCAGTCAACAGAGACTCTAGCATCAAGGAAGTTTGGTCTTAAATTATAAAATTTGCTGGAAAGCACGAAAAACAATCCCAAACAATTACCACAGACGATGTAAGAGCGAAAATTCTGGATATGCTGGCGGCTTTTGTAACCCAGCCAAAGGTCAATATCCAAGATGCGGCAGAACACATTCCATTCACTTAAGGTGAATTCTACGCTGCAATGAAGGAAAAAAAAAAGACTCAGCCCCGGGACTTGACGAAATCTCCTACTCCATGATCTCAAAAAAAAGCCAAACATCAACTCCTATACATACCTATACAACAACCTGATGAGGGGTGACCCCATACCTGATCAGTGGAAAGAATATCTCATCCATGTCATATGCAAACCCAACAAAAATCCAGACAGCTACCGTCCCATTATACTGGCGTCATGCATGCTGAAACTATTGGAAATCATTATAAAAAATCGATTAGAATGGCAAATGGAAAACAAAAAAAGTGTTTTCATGGCAAACATATAGAAAAAAAAAGGGAGTTAATGCCTGGCATACATTGTCTCCTACATAACGCTCGCTTTCAATGAAGGGTGTATAGTCCTCGCAGTTTTCCTGGATATTAAAGCAGCGTACGACAATGTCAATCTGCAGAAGATTTATAAAAATGACCAGGCTTAACATCTCCAGAGAAGTCTGCAACCTAATACATGAAATCTTAAGAAATAGAAAAATTTACATTAGAAATACAAAATGACAGCTGATTGGCACTAAAGTGGTGGACTCGGGTCTTCCGCAGGGCTAGCCTCTAAGTACAATCTTGTTCAATATATACATACAGGAATTATTCGAATCACTGCCAGAGGAAACCCAAATTATGGGATATGCAGATGACCTTATAATATTCTTAAAGGATGAATCCGCCTTGCAAATGGCAAATAGTATAAACTCCCTGAATATCTTTGGAAAATGGTTGAGGGAGAGCTGTCTGAGACTGTCCTATGATAAATGCGAGGTGGTTCACTTTGCTCAAGGTAACAAAAGAAAAGAAATTCAACCCATCAAAATCAATGGTAACCTCATCCCTCTCCGAACAACTGTTAAGTGTATAGACAACCGTCTAAACTTTATTAAACAAACGGAAAATATAATACAGAAGGACTCAATGTAATTAAATTTTTCTGCAGAGTATGGTCAGGTTCTGCCCTCTTACTCTGAGAATGATCCTACAAGGACTAGTAATAGCCCATCTGGATTATGGAGCTCTTTTGTTGAAGCCACTCTCGAAAAAGAACCAACCGAAAATCAACAGTGTCTTCAATGCAGGACTCAGAGTCATCCTGGGATGCATGAGGTCTACTTCCGTAAATGCACTAATGGCGGAGGCAGAAATGATGGATCTGGAATAAAGAAGAAGATGGCTCGCTGTCAAATACTTGTCCAAAATCTACAGTTTTGAAAATCACCCACTTATAATCATTAAAAAAATATATATCACAAGATGTACAATGCAAATTACTGGAAAGGTGTTGAGGTCCCCTATCTGGTACAGGCATTACGACTACTTCCTGCCATATGGAAAAAGGATGAAACAGAGAACTGCCTTGCCATGTTTCGAAATGGTAAGGAAAGTCCAGTTGAGATGTTTGGCGGTCATAGAACAGAACTCCATTTGGAAAAACATGGAATCAATACTATCAATAGATTCAGGGCAAGTATCGGCTCTCTCGACTGCTCATACACACAAATATCTATACGGATAGCTCTAGGAATAATGGAAAAACTGGATATGGTATTCACTGCTCCAGCAAAAAATACAACTTCTCTGCAATATTTCAGGACGAAATGGATATACAGCGGAGATGGTAGCTATAAATGAGGGAGTGTGCTATGCACTCCAAAAAAACATACAAAATGCACTGATCCTGACAGACTCAAAAAGTGCAATAGAAAAGTTGAAAAGAACTTACATCAATCCTGACAGCAGTGAAATACCTAGAACTTAAAACAAAAACATTTATTGTAGAAGCTAATTTTGCAAACAACATTAAGTTAGCGTGGATTCCGGGCCATGCTGGCCTGGCTGGTAATGAATGCGCTGATAAGCTTGCCCACATAGGAAGAATTCTAAATGTTCCAAGTGCTCTCCCTCTGGAACCATCTTACATCCTTCCTCTGATCCAAGCAAAAGTAAATTGCGATCAAACCTACCAAAAAATCGTCCCAAGAACGGTATCGGAACCACTCTGTATACGAATTTCAGATTCTACGCACAAATTTTACGTTTTGCGCAGAATCCTGACGGTGGAATGTAGTGAATGTACGGTTCCCTGCTGAATTGAAACAAAGCTATACCTTTGTAGTTCAGACCCAGACTCAGGCGCCCGAACGAGCTACGCTCTCAGTCTTAAGTAGGTACTTCTGTCTTCGTTTGGAATTGGAAATAAAGAAAAAGGCAAATAATATCAAAGCGCACTCGCCTCTCGTTAATCGTAATGCAACCCGGTTGCGCTGTGTTGCAGATTTATAAAGAAGTATTAAATTTATGGTAGAAGTAAACAAGAGCACTTAATCATTATTTCATGTAATTTCTATTTTTGGGAATAGCGGGAGTTTTGTTTGGGTGCGCGGGAGGCGGGAGGTTTAGTAAAAAAGCGGGAGCCTCCCGGGTTGGCAACCCTGCCTACAGATCTTTTTGATTTATTTTTGTTTGGTGTTGTTAGAGGAAGCTGGGTGGTTCTCCGCTCATTACCAAACTTCTCAATCCTCCAATAAACCCACACATAATAAATAAAGTTTTGTCAGTTACAACAACCGAGAAGCGTGGAAATTAAAAATGAAGAGAAAGTTAAGGAAAATTGGAGGATTAAAAATTTTGGTCTTGGGCGAGATTCGAACCCGCGTCCTCAGCTTTGCCGGTGCTACGCTCTTACTACCTAAGCCACCATGACCCTACAGATCTTTTTGATTTTCGTTTGCTGTTGTTAGAGAAAGTTGCTTGGTTCTCCGCTCATTGCCATTGAGGACGCGGGTTCGAATTCCGCCCATGACCAAAATTCACAGATTTACCCCAACATCAACCCCGAATACTAGGCGATTTTGCCGGAGTGAGCCGTTTGTGCGTGTTAACACCGACGAGGCCAAAACAATATTATTACTATTGTTTGCCCAGCGGATCTGAGTCTACGGAAATAATTTGGACGTAAATATGCCATGTTGCCAGGTCTATAAACCTAGCAGTCCCAAAATGGAAAAAAACTTCAGGAACTAAATAATAATTAGGTGCTTTTTAGGTGCTAATTAGGGCCTCTAATTAAAAATTAGGTGCTCCTTTAGTTTTTGAGAAAATCAAAAAAAAACTAAGGGACTGCTAGGTTTATAAAAGCTAGCAGTCCCCTATAGTAAAAAATATTTTTTCAAATTTTTTCTTTGAATCAGACTTAGGTGCTTTTTAGGTGCTCCTAAATCGTCCAAGAAAAAATAGAATTGATTAATTATTAACTGAGTTACAGATTTTTTTTTAATTATAAGGAGACTGCTGGTTTACGTTTAATTGTTGGTGTGTCAGAATGGCAAAAAAACTTCAGGATCTATATAATAATTAGGTGCTTTTTAGGTGCTAATTAGGGCCTCTATTTAAAAATTAGGTGCTCGTCTAGTTTTTGAGAAAATCAAAAAAAAAACTAATAGTCCTAGCGGCTCGCGACAATTTACATCGAAAAACTGCAAATTGTGGTACAAGCATGAAATTTGGTATAACTGTTTTTTAGACCATTTTAAGTGATTTGATCCTATGTACACCGACTTTCATCAATTAGGACACCCCCCACCCCAAAATGA